TCAACTCTCAAGTCCCTAAAGCAATGACAATCCCTGCGTTCTCCAAAGCACTGCTGGCCTTGTGCAATGAAGTAGGGCTCACAGCAAAGGCCACCGCCAAGGTCAACACCTCAATGTCAAATCAAAAACAATCAAATAAATGACAAAATAAACAACGCTGGACAAGATAAAACAGTCTGACTGAGTTTCCCAACCACCGAAAGGGCACAGGCGATAGGGCCCCCCCCCAAACAGCTGCGGAGAGAAAAACAGCTGCGGAAAAAAATAAAAAATGCTCGAAAAAAAAGCTAAGCATAGCATTGCATGGGGTAGATAGATTTAAGGAAATTGACATTAATGAAAAAAACGGAGACGCAAAGCAAACAAACATAGACATGCAGGAAATCACAGAAAGGCCAAGTAAAACGCGTCCTGCGATTCCATGTTTATTTCAAGTGGCCACTCTTCTCGAAGAGAAAGAATACGCGTTTCGATTACGTTTTTAACTATGCACACCGCGTGGCAAACCAACATGGAACCCTCGGATGTAGATGAGGAAACTTGCAAACATAGCACCATGCAATTTGTTTAATTGTTTTTGCCGCACGTTAATCTTAACTGGAGTAGTTCCTTTTCAACACCACCAAACAGGAATTGATGGACTTGGCCCCCGTACCACCACCGAACCACCAGTGAAGGGCACCAGGCTCGAAGTGCACGTCCCATCTCCACGTCCGATCTCCACGGATCTCCAACCTATCGGACACCGGTCCACTGCTGTTTCTTCCCGGCCGCGGCGCACGCTTCTGGAGGGCGGCGTGGCCTGCAATGAGCTTCACCTCGGTCCGGGGTTCTCACGGGGTGCATCGGAACTGGAGGATGTTGAAGGAGGACTGGGGGGATGTTGGGGACTCACCAATGAGGGATGAAGGAGAATGCAGTTCTAATAGAAAATGCGAGATTACTTAATGTTACTATCAAAAACATTATTATCAGACTATATCAAACTATTGATTTCAAAAGAAACACTCCAACACTCGATGTCTCGCTGGTCCTTGGTGTCATCCATCCACGCCCCACACGTTCCGATCACGTTGTGGCTGAACAAAACAGTTTTCGCTCTGACGAATCCAATGGGCCTTCGAATCGATCTACTCCAGTGCCTGATTCCGAAGTCCTGCCACTCGTGGACTACCCCCTGCCACTCCGTGGTGGGGAAGCTCGATTTGTCATGTGAGGTGTCCTTTATGGAATGAATGCTTCACATGTTTGCTTGATAGTCTTGGACAAACAAAAAGCAAACATAGTTAAAATCACGTGTCCCAACCTTCACGTTGAGAACCCCCCCATAAAAGAACACCGGCAATGACTAAGACGTCTGTCTTCACACATGTTGGAGGACGATCATCGGACAAAATTGTAATTCAGGACTTGATTGTTCACCCCTGGTCATCAACAAAAATATCCATGTGCTTTTAGATTCTTAACAATTAATGATTTCTTTGTATTTATGTTGCCTCCTATTCTGTGTTCACCTTGAGACCAAACAAACGTGAAAACCATGGAAAGCTTCCCAGCTTTCCAATGAAGGGCCAATCAGGGGTGAAGTATGGGCCCCCACCCCTTTCCATGAACACTTGTTCTTCAGATTCACATACTTTCAGAGTTGTTGGTATATGATCTTGACTCTTGACTGTTTCCCGTCAATAAAACATGGTACAGCGCTGAAATCCTGGTACAGCAACAAACGCGCCTCCTCTTGGTCCCAGAGCGCTTCCACCTCAAGCAACGCTCCCATGTTCGGCCAGGGGTTGTAGTCAACGCCAATCAATCAACAAGCATTCTCAGAAGGCCGCTATACCAATTAGTTGGACCCTCTCTACACTAACCTACATTCCAAACACCCTCTCAACTCAGGATAAGGTCTATGTGGACTTGCTGAGAAATCTTCCCTCTTAGGATCCTTGATCACTCTTTTTTTTTCGCACAAGCGCCCGGTTTGTGTCCCGCCTCACTCATCATCTGCTCTTCCTCCAGCTTCGTCGCAGCGTCCTCACGGGAAGCAGCAGCCGGTGGCTGAGCAGCACGGCACGGCCCCTGTCGGTGCTTCGGTGGTTAACCCAACTACGGTTGGCATGGCTTTTTCAAAACAGGCAAATGTGTGTATAACTCAAACCACGCTTCTTCACCACAGATACGAAATTGACTTCTACATTCAACTCGATTTCTTTAGGCCCTAAACTAAACCCTGTGCAACTCAAAGGGACCTGCCAATCTGTGCAAGTTCAGTTCTTTGGGGTTGCTCTGGAAATCGACTGAAATACCAAAACACTCCATTATGTCGAACATAGAGTGTCTGGGGATTAGAATTTTGACATGTCATGTCCATCTTTTCTGATGGACATCTATATATGGATATGCTACCATATAAATCCAATCATTGATATATATATATATATGTACATTAATATACATATAACAACTAACTATGTACTATTATATTGTACAATTTACACATGTTAATAACAAAAACATACTATTACTATATAACTAATTGAACTATATATTATTGCAATATTTTCCCATGGATATCAGGTCCACCGGCATCCCCCCCCGCTCCGCCAAGGCCATCTTCCGGGCACCACCCGACCTGCAGACGAGGAAGTTCCGTCCAGCAGGGGTGGATCTCCGAAACAATGCTGAAATCACCCAAAAGTTCCGACGCAGTCAAATGTTATTAGCTTGCTAATTGAAACCAGCGATGTTTCCTATTGGTCCAGTCTGTTCTACAAGCAGTCATGCTTCCTGGATCACCACTGCTCTTCCCAGATCCACACTTTCCCGCTTCGCACCGCTTCGCACCGCTTCGCACGGCTTCGCACCGCTTCGCACCGCTTCGCACCGCTTCGCACCCCCATGCATGCGGTTCCTGCGGTTCCTTCGATCCAAGGGCCACACCGGAGATCCTTCAGGAACTTGGGCTTCAAGGCCCTGAAGGTGCCAGACATCTCACGTGTCGCGCCGGTCTCGGGAGAGGTTGAGACTTCTCCGAGGGGTCTTCTGGACTCGGGTCTGGAGGCTCTGCGAAAGGGGGCGATTCTGTCCAATCCAAGTCTCATATAGTCCTATATAATATATATATATAGCTGCCAGGTTCCCCTTCCCAAACAAACGATCTAGTTGAAAAACCGCCTGATGTGATTGATGAACTTCTCACGCTGTTCACCTCAGCAAGCTGGACGCTATCGCTAGGAACACGAGCGCTCTGGTCTCCTCAGCAGGTCTGGTAGATTGTGTCCCCCTGTCTGCAGGAACAAAAAAAAACATAATAAACCCACCAGTGGCTGGCTAGGTATATAGGCCAATTGGACAGGAATGGATTGTCTCATTCCTTTGTCGTCGATTGCAAAGATTTAGCAAACCAAACCTTGGAGCTCCAGGAGGCGTTGGAAGCCCTAGCAGCTAGGAAAAGGGTTCTCACTAAGGTTCTGACAAATGACATCGTCATTTCTATTGAGTCTATTGGGATACTGCGGTTTTGGGGGCCTGGCAACTCTGCTGCCCGTATCTAAATGCCCAACGTGGACTTCGACTCTAACACAAAGGAATCAAGAAAGCAAATTAAATGACTTCGCCACCAAGCAACTTCGAGCCCCACCGGAGTGTCTCAGAAATGGATCGCTAAAATTTGAAGAAGTGAGGTGGATCTGGTAGTTGGCCGATCAGAGATGAAAACAAACAGGTTCTTTCTGAGAATGGGAACATGATTCACTTCAAGCCGGTGGATAGTAACATCTTAGCGGTCCTAATTGGGTAGTTTTTCAAGGAACCTCGTCAGCAGCTGTCGATTTGCACTCCGACACACGTTCCATGAAAGTGGATGGATGTGGATGGCGTAGGCGCAAAAGGATAGTTGACAACTATCTGACCTATCCCCTATAAATCTATATAAATCTAAACAAACGGTTCTCCATCCAACCGAGCGCAACGCTCCGCTCCAAACGTAGTCTGGTAGAGGAAGATCGTATTTCAATCCCAGGGGACGGATTCCCCAGCGGAGCCGGGAGAGTTGTTCTTTTTTGATGATTGGCACAACTTGTTGGTGTTGTTCCTTTTGGAATGTTGTTGTTTGCTGTTTGAATCCAGCCATGTGACAAATTTGATTGACTGTCTGCTCCGCGTTCTTGACCAGCACCTCGACAAACGATGGACGACGCGAGGCGCCAAACACTGTTGCATTTGTTGGGAAGCATCATGGTGCATATAGGGCATACCACACATACCAAAAACACTGCAAATGATGTCAATAATTGTCAAGATACAGTTATCATCTAGTATCATCCAGTCATCCGTTTTGTCAATACACAATATGACAATGTCTCAAGCCAGGGGTGGCATGCCACACATGCCAACCAAGCAGTGGCTCTCTATTTCCCAGTTGCAGAGTCTCCAGATTCTGGAACGGAGACCTCCACACCGGTCCACACTCTGAAGGCGTCTTTCAAAAGGTACTGTTGAGCCTAGGGCCTATCGCTGTCAAGTAGGGGGGCCTGATTGCTTTTGGCAGCTTTGCAGCCCAAGTCCTGAAATTCGTGAATTTCCGCCCTTGGACGTTTTGGCGGTTGCTCATACACGCTGTTGAATAGCCAGTGCCTTTTGGGATCCATGTTGGTCTAGTCTAGTAAAGTAGAACCCTCAAGTTCAATGAAACTTACAAAGAATAAATAACCACAGCTGCAATCATCAACCCAAACCCCCGAAACAGAAAGGTCCGACCAAGGCTCGCAGCGAGTCCGCTGCATCCGCTGCACCCAAATCTCACTAGGCGCTCCGGCCAGGTATTTGGGTAACATCTCCAACATTGGCTTCATCTCTTCATGCAGCTCCCTGATGGGCGCAGAGCAAAAGCCGTTTTTGTTTGCGGCATTTTGCCAGCAGCATCGAGCCGCCGCTTGAGGTGAGGTGGTTCTGAAGGGGGATTTGACTGGGAGACCTCATCGGTCCAGTGAGATCAGCATGTTTGAGAGCAGGACAGCAAAGCAGTTCCTTGAAACATCCAGGGTGAGGCACCCTGGCACCATGGCGGCACCATCGGATTTTGGTGATCTAAACCTAAGGGGCCGCCATCCATCGTTGGAGGTGTACCACACCGAGCTTCGGACCCCCTGGGTCCGAGACGAGGCGCAGGCTATTTGAGGCTGTGCTGTCCAGTTCGAGCTGGGGTGATGGTGGGTGGTGTTGGGTGACCACCCAAGCACCAACAGGAAGAACTGGAAGTAGCTGGAAGGCTTTGGAAGAAGCTGGATTCACTTCACTCAATGCCGGAAGGCGATAGTCCCTCGCTGAAAGGCAAAGGGGATAGTCCTGTAGCCTGAACTCGAAGTCCCAAACTAAGACCTGTAGCCTGTAGTACTGATGCCTGTAGTGCAAACAAATGATGGAATCAATTCACTCCAAAACTCCAAACGAAGTGAATTCCCTGGACCCCTGCCTGAATCCCTTCCCTACAATCCGTTCACAGAACCAAAAACAATACTCTGCATCCAAGGGCCCCCATGCAGTTCAAATGTGTTTTGGGATGTCTCGGGTCGACGTCATCTTTCCCATTGAATTCTAGGACTGGTCGACGAGCACTATTCGGGTAGAGAAGAAATCTGTCACTTCCCTGGGTGGACCATTCAAGACCCACAGGACCAGCCCGCAACCGCAAACCCGCCCTTTTTTGGGGATGAAAAACAGAGGGTTGGATGGGGTTGGTGTGACCCTCCTGCGCAAGAAAAGGCGCAGGCGCCTGCAACGAAGCTTAAGGCCTGCTTTGATGTTGGGTGCCTGAACAAGCAAGAAACACACATGGAGCGATGAGGTGTGTCCAAAGCAGAAATTGGATTTGGAAGATGGCAAGTGCGCCTGCTGGCATGAGGTGTGCATTTGTGTTATCAATCTTCCTCAAAGCCATCGGCAGAACCTGACAACCAACCCAGGCCATAAATTGTAACAACCACCCACCGACCAACAAAGAACGCTAGATGTGGGTGCTAGAAGTGGACCTGGATCGGGTCGTCCTCTACCCATCGTTGAACTGGGTGTGAACGGATTGAGCATGATTGAGCTCATTCAGCATGACAAGAATATACTTCTCGGATATCATTGGTGCCAAATCAGGGTGATACATTGTAGACTTATATACATCAAACTGAATATACCATATCTGTCTGTTGTCTGCGTTTTGTTTGTCATGCGCTCAAGGCCCAATGTCGTATATAAAACAATGGCCTTCCCAAGATGATCAAATAAGCAGGAGCAATGACTCGACCTATTAAGCGGTGGATCCAACCTGGCAATTTTGTTCCAAACAAACTGAAGGATGCGCGGTTCCAATTTCAAGGGACGGTGTCTTACTTACCTTTGACAATCCAAACTCTACTCCTATGCCGTCATAGCACCGAAGTACCATGGTATCATTTGCAAGTCATGAATCTGAATGATGGCTCATGGCTAATTCGGAGGTTCATTTACCGCTGGCTGTGTGAGATTAGCAGCTAGCATCCCTCATGTGCTTGGACCCCCGAAAGCAAGTTGTCATGTCAGAAAGCATGTCAAGCCGCCCCCCCGCAGTAGGAATCCATCCCTCTGCCCCACGTCGCGAGCCACGCCGGCCTTCTCTAGCACAAAGGGTGGCATCGGAGAAACGACTGGTGGCTCCACCTGACACGAGGCACACGGCCACCGAGGCCACGTGAGGCCACAAGTCACCCGGAGTAAGGCATGTCTTTTCCAAACACGACTAATGGGACTGCCATATATGCCTACATTGACCCCCAGTCAACCACCCCAACTGATTGGCATATATGGCAGTCCCATTAGTCGTGTTTGGCATTTCTTTGGGTCGGCTTTTGGCGGGTGCGCGAAACGCACGCGGTGCTTCCTCACCTGCAGAGGACCCAAGTAGGAGCGCCGTCGTTTGGCTGAGAAGAGTGAGAGGCCTCAGGATGCGGAGAAGCCACCTTTGGTGGAGTTTCCAAGTTCAGAGTGCTGGTGGCAGTGGTGGTGGGTTTACATCTATATCTCCGATCATCTCCAACTTGACTTCACCCAAGTCGCCCTCCCCCAAAAAAATTGGACCTGCTCATGGGCAGCTATTCTATACGATATCATCTACCGAATCTACCTGCTACAAAACCCCCTAACAAACAATCCAGTCAAAAGACCTCACCAAAAGGTCTGCTCCTCCGAGGGGCGCTTCTCTGCTTCGTCTTGGATGCTCTGCACCGTGTTCGCCACCGCCATCCGCTGGCCCTGCACGCGCTCGGATATCCAGTCGCAAAGCTATGGGATGGTGATCTGAAACCCGAGAGAAGGAAGGGCACAACCCGGAGGCCCCGGTCCTGGAACTGCTAATTCAAGGCTTTTCTAAGGCATCATTCAGTTCTTGGATGCTTTTTTTTGGGGCAACACATGCTCAGGAGGGTCTATCAACCACCCAAACTGGGTGGTGCTGGCTATGGAGTTGTTGATGTAATTTCGCACCGAAGACAAGCGAGTGAGTTCGCATGCAAACCATGCTCGAAGACGCTCTTCCTGCACGCTTGAAAGCGGGTGGCCTCCCAATCAATTCTCAAGTTCTCGATGGCTTCGATTTCATCTTCCACCTGGAGATGTGGAAGTACTGCGGCCAATGAGATGGTGAGGCCGACAAGCAAATTGAGATTCCAAAAGGAGTGATCTACGCACAAAACTCCAAAGCCAGGGACGTACAGGTGGATGTCACTGCGCTCCCATACTTCTTGAACATAGAGAACAAACAATATGAATCATGGAGAGTTGGTCCCATATCAGTCGAAGCACCTTGCTTGCCACGTTCACTGGGCAGAAAGACATGGACAGCCGACAGATTCAACTCCCAACGCCCTGGTGCCATCTACTCTCAGTCCCATGTACGTCGATGCGTTCGGGACGTGGGTTCCCAACCGCAGCGAAGCGGATCGCCAATCGGTTGGGCCGTCAAGTTGAGAGAACCAAGCTCCCGACCTGCACAGAAGGACTTCCTGTAGACCATGACTGTTGTGGTCCCGAAGTAATTTATCAACCTGGAACTGAACCCATGGAACTTGCTTTAAGAACACAAGAAGACCACATGTTGTGCGTGTGTACATTTCCTGCTTGGACCTCACCATGTTCGTTTGGCTCGAGCGTCCCACCTCGCTCATGCGCCGTTCCAGCTCCTCTCGTTCGGCCTCGGAGATGCGGACGATGTACTCGTTGGTGGTCTGGACAGTCTGAATTTAGCCGTGTATAAACCAAACAGGTCTCTCCATTCTTGGACCTCAAATGCTAAGTCTGTCTTCCTTCCATCCTCAAGCGTCTATAACATCCCCTATAACCCTATAGCTCCAAGTACCTCCTGAGAAGGTATTTAGACCCTCCACCTTCTCAGAAGGTCCTTGGAGGCCTAGGGTAACATCCTCATGCCAGACCTGCCAGACCTGGGTCTCCGGACAAGCAGGTCTGCGGAGACTTGGATCGGCTCTGGACTTTCCAGCCTAAACGATCGTCCGGTCATTGCGTGACGAATGCTGTGACACACGTGGTCTGAAAGTCTGTGAAAGCCGCATAGACCTGATGGTGGATGGATCAAACCGATCACTATCATTAACTATAGACGATTATGGTGGACTGAGATCTTGAACACTGAGTGAACATACATCATCAAAGTCCAGGGTCTGAGGAACACAGCCTTTCCAAGGGGATAGCCTAGAGCTAGTCTCTCCGTCAGATTTATCAAATTCCAGGACGTAGTCATCCAAATGTCTGAAAGGGGACACAGCTGGTGGTTCTGCATTTTGCTCCTGTGCCCATAGAACTTCTGTTTCTGAAGCTCTTCTCGAGAAAACTTCAGGAAACCTGATGTCACTTGCTTTGAAAACGTAAATGATCTGGTACAGGAATCTCCAATGTGGTTCTCCTTGTTGCTTCAAACACTTTTTTGACATCAGGTACTTGCCGAGTTCAGAGATAATGCTGTTTTCTCCCGCTCATTTGGTGAACAGTCGCAATATGACAACACATTTCTTGTCTGGAACGTGGCCCAAATTCAGCAACATCATACTTGCAGCTTTTATCAAAGTGTCATGATGTTCGGTCTTACCTGACTGAGCGCAACTCTCCAAGTAGAAATTGAACTCATAAAACTGGGACATGTTTTTCTTTCTTAGGATTAGCGCAGAACGGAACCTGCTCTGACAGAGCCAAATTAAGGCAGTTTATATTATTAAAACATTACACGGAGTACGCTGTGACTTTCTTTGTCTATGTGTGACTCCCTCTCCATCCTGCCAGCACCATTGAGACGATGTTCCCAAATTGAAATTGTTGGTAATTACAGTCGTTCCGGAATTGTGCCTGGTGTTTCTGGCTGCATTGGCAACAAACACGTCTGCCATCCTGATAGCTCCAGGGGTTAGTCTGTAATCTCATGGTTGTGGAGGCCTCTTGTCTCCTTTGCTCCAAACCGGAGAAACCACAGTGCGAATTTGAAGTTCCTTCTGAGAAGCACTTCCTACGTTCAATCTCCATCCAATTTCCGCATGACTTCCATAATCTTCCATACATTTGCAAGAAAACGCCACTGAATGTGATCGAAAACACCAGCACCAGCAGAATAGGCTCTGCACACTGCTCTGCGCCTCTTTGTCAGTTGAGAAAAGTTCTCAGATCCAGGAACTGGTGCTCTGTGCAGGAATGCTGTTTGCCAGTCTTCTTCTTCAGGCAAGTTTGGTTGAAACTTCCTGGCTCATCAGCATGTTGATAACATGTTTGTCAATCTGGTGGGTAATTACTATACTTTCTGGAGGCTTTATCGCCTCATTTGGCTTCCAAGTTGCCAAGTTGGGTGATCCGTTTAACTTTAGATCTTGCAAACTCGTGTCCCGTGCTTTCGGGCTCAAACATGCTGTCTCACACATTGCGCTCGGCTAGACTTGACCCCCAGTGCCAAACGGTGCACACAGACTGCACGCCGTGCTTCTCTCGGCGATGGAGTATGCCTCTGTTACAAATATGCTGTCGCGACTCCAGTGGAGCTTGACCAACTCATGCTGTCACAACATGCTTACGAGTTCTGGAGAATTGGGACCAGGTTCCTTCTTTGGTGAAGGAGATGGTTGTAGTGTTGCTTCTGCGTGTGTTGTTTGTCACACCGACCTTTTGTGTGTGGTGTGGAGCTTTATGGGCACGGTTGGTCAAATAGGTTTCTTGCTTGCAAGCATGGCGGCAAGGCTTCGCAGGAACGATGCCACCAGTTGCTGGGCACACAGGCCCAAAGCGCCTAGCGATGTCATGGCCAGTCAAATTTGACATGTTGCACAGTGAGGACATATGAGGAATGTGTGGGGTCGAACCGCTCCATTGTCTGTTGGCAATCTGGACGGATGGCGCCCTGCGAGACTATGGAGAACCACATTTGAGTTGAGTGGAGTGCTGGCAAGAGTGAGCTGCTCTCGAATGTTTTTTTTGATGTAGACGGCGTTTGTTCTTGCCCCTTTGTGTGGGGCTGTAGTGTAAGTTGCACAAGTCCGGATTGCCCCACGCGCCTGGTGCAAGACCTGATTTGCTGGTGAGGTTGCCCGCTGAGTATGTAGGGGGGGTTGCAGCTTTCTGCACTTTGCTTTCGCGTTGGTGAGTTCTCGTAGCTCCAGATTCAATGACCTGCAGCTACCCAGAGTGGTGTTGCTGTTTTTGGTCGCTGTACAGTCTGTTATTATACTATATAATATATACTATATACAAGGAATGTCAAACCATGTTAAATTTGGGCAGTTGTGGCCCCTTTTTTTTGCAGCTTTGTAGTTACTTTCTTGTACACGGTGTGATTTGCCTTGTTCAGCCCAGTTTGCCCAGCAAGTGGGAAAAATTGGGCCTAAGTCAGGTGCGTGTCAAAAACTAATACTTCTAGTCACAGGCAAGAGCCTTCGGCAGAGAAAAAAGAAAGAAAGCACGGCACAGATGTGTTTTTGGGAGAGAGACATCTGTCTGTTTCTGAGTTATATATATATATTGTTGAAAAACTGAGCCAGGAGCTAAATTGAAGACCTGAACGCTCTAACATTGCCAAAAAATTGCCCCGCTGGCTTTGTGTAGCCCTTGCCCCTACACGCCCTTGAGTGCTCATTTAAACCAGAAAACAAAGACATGATCTACTTTGGGTACCCCATCCGTGGATAGTATAGCGGATGATGGTCACTATAAGGGTCTGTACCAAAAATAAACTTTCAAGCACGCTGCACAGATTCTCCTTTGATGAAACAAATCTTGAAACGACCCTGAATCCGCCGAAGGGCTTGTAGTACAGGTTTGACCACAAAAATTGATAATTGATATCATTAATGCATAATTTGGAAATACTGGAATAACTTGGATTTCTCAGGCGCTATTCCACATCTCTTCCATCGACAGTATGTCTAGTCGGTCACCCACATCCCAGCCATCCTTCTCTCACCGCCCAGCCACCCTCGTGAGCGCTTCATGGCATCTAGCAAGGGTGCCTCAGTCGAAGCAAATCCCTTCAAAAAAGGCTATGTCCTAGATCACTGTCACTCTGATCCTAGATAGCTTCTCCTTTAACGCTCGGAAGCGGCCCAACACCTGGGCGGAGCCCGAAACCGCGGAGGACGTGGAGGCGGAGCCCGAAACTCGGGCGCCTGAGGATCGTTCTGGGAGGCCTGATCTGTTGGTCTCCTAGAGTTAAGTTGGCCTTCTGGAGTTTGAGACCAAAGGAGGAGATTGGTGATTGACTTGAAAAAGGATTGATTGGTGATTGGTGAAAAACAGAACCAGCTGGGTAACGCTCAACTGGATGAACCTCCATGCACCTTCCCGAACGCTTCAAAAACGGTTTGATTGACTTTCAGTATGTTCAGCTGACGGTCAGCTCTTTCACACCCTTGACGATCACCATCGGCCAGGCCAGGCGGCAATGGCTGACTGGCGCGCCAGTCCTTTGGCCTCGCGTTCTTCGACGAAAGACTTGCCCCGTTCGACTCGACCATCAAGAAACCCCTGAAAACAGCTGTGATTTGTTTGCAACAAGACATTGGATAATGAATGAATTATAGGTCATGAGACTGAAGCAACATGCTGAAATACCATGACTTACCCATCTGACACAGAATCCATCGTCGGATCATCGGATCAGGCAACCCCACAGCCATCAGTTGGGGATTGGTGTCAACCATCCTTGGAATGGTGATTCTCTGTCATACTACTCTTAGCCCTCACCGACCACTCTACCCCTCGCATTGTACTCCAACACCTTACATGAACCAAACAACCCCTGGCACCTATCTCATGAACCTGCGGAATCGTCCACCTCTGGACATGTTCTGCAAGGGCGCACCGACACCTCGGAAGCCGCCGGTAGATTCCAACAAAAAGACCATCTTCCCATGTCCCACACCATCGCCGTCACCGTTTCACGAAAACCACGGCCTCTTCGATCGTCTCCAAGGCGTTCTGATCCAAGGCCTTCAATCGCGGTCGGACCGGAACTCCACGCGATGGATCGCGGATCCACGGGTCGGTGCCGCAAGCGGGGCGTGGAGTGTGGAGGGGAGGGGAATTGGACTGGAGAATACAAACATGTGCAAACTAAAGTGAACATGGGCATTGATCGACCGGAGATTCAATTGACTAATGATTCAATTGACTTTCTCAGGCCGGAGTTCCCTCAATCCTCCAAGTGACCCATTTCCAAACGATACAGCTTCTTCTACGGACAGGGGATTGAGGATGACAGGGTGCTGAGTTGGATGGATAGTGCACTGCTGAGCAGGTGAGGTGTTGAGAATTGAACAAACTGAATTGATAGATCGAGAATGATCGAAAACTGCTCTCTTCCTTCAAAGAAGCATTTTTGCAGAACGTTTATAATTATAAATATAGAGTTGATGGCTACTATAACTGTCAGTTGTGAATCACCATCCCAGGAGATCATCTGTCACCATCTGTCACCTGTCAGCGCCAAGTTCTGGGCCCCGGAATCTCGGTCTCCGTGACCCGGCGCCGAAACTGAGGAGTACGGCATTGATCTTATCTGGCTTCTCACCCCGCTCCACTGCTTGAAGAGCCTCTCCGAGCGAACGGAACGGCACAGCTCGAACAAAGCAGCCCCAAGGCGTAGGGGGAGGGCTTAGCCCACCAAAGCAAATGAAAAGAAAAGGCTTAGCTCACCGCAAAAAAGGCATCGGAGTTCACCAACCAAAGCTGCGTTTGGGTGGGATGCATCTCAACGAGCATTCTCCACTTGTACGATCCCAATCACATCAGCGACTGATCTTCGATGGCCCACAAACACCGGCCCGGTTGTGGTTCAGCGTGGAGATTCCGGCATGACCCAATGCCTCCTCCTGCAACAGCGCAAACCCCACAAAAAGCCTATAGATTGCCTGCTGTGCCGGCTCTACACCAGTTCACAAATCACGTCACATGAGTTCACACATCTCACCACCTAGGACCTAGCACAAAAAGACCTCCAAGATCTTGCAAGTTCTTTGGAGAGGTCCGTGTCAATGCTGTTTCCATAAACTATAAACCACATTTTGAACCACAAGGTCACAAGGGATTCCATGAACCCTAACAGGTTTTGTTGCAGGCAACGCTAGGAAGTCCCAAATCTATAAACCACCTCTTGTGAATGACGGATTCCTAACCTCCTTGGTGACTTTTGATGCGGCAGAGTCCTGCGACCTCCCCTGTGACCTCACCTGATTTCTGCCACCTCTTCACTATAGCTGAGTGGCCTGCTCCAAAGACTTCAGCCGATGTTGCACCAGTTCTTGCTCGGCCTGGCATTGCGCGACCCATGCCACGGGATCACCGGATCTCAGGGGTCTGAACATGCCCACATCCGCCTGGCCAGTGAGAAAATCTGATCGATTTCTTTGGAGGAAAAAACATATCTGACATGCAGGGCACGAGCAGTTAAATCTGTGCGAGAGACCCACCTGGCTGGAAGAAAGCTGCAAATTCTGAAGGTATACGAGGCTCTTGGGGAGTATATATATATATATATATAAGTGCAAACACAGACCGACGTGTCAGAGACCCGCATGACCCAGAATTGGGTTTGATACCGCGCAAAGTGGGTTCGCACCGATTGGCGTGTCGTATGTCTGCGGCACCGAATATGGTTCGCCGCGCTCTTGGTGCGCCTTCAATTTCTGCTGCTTCCTCGTCTTCTTCTCGATCTTTACACGCAAGTCGGCGATCTGGGCAAAGCGAAGCAAGGCAAGGCAAAAAATGATCAACTCAGTAAGGTCCAGCGACTCAACAGCTGGGTGCAGTAACAGGGTACTCAGAACACCGGTAGGTTTTGCACTTGGAGTCAAAGCAAACCACACCTGATACTGGCAAACACGTGGTAGAGGTCGTTTGACATAAAACAAAACACCAACGTTCTGGAGAGATGCCAGTGGAATCCATTCGTCACACCGGAGAGCATCTCTGCGGAGATTTGAGAACCAGATTCGAGACCCCCTACTAACCCAACTTAGCATAACTCAGGCTCCATGATCTCCATGGCGCTCTGGTCTTCTTTCGCACCCGGCCACGGCGACTGCGGGTCTAAGCCACCACCATGATGCACCTGCGGTGGCTCCGGGATGCCACCATAGCCTAGCTCCTCCTGGACGGCCCGGTCCGTGGCAAAGGTCTCAGGTGAGCGATTCCAATAGGTTTAACCATGATGTGTTTAACGACCAAAAAACCAAAAGCATGTAATCCAACCCCGTGTGCTTGGAGTGTGTTTAAGACGTGACATTTATACGCTTAAATACATATCCTGTAGATGACGGGACCATCCGGCCAAGGTCAAAGGACGTCTAAAGGCCACTCCCAGAGCATCAACTTGAGAGAGGAGGGGGTGAACGAAAGGTAGCAGGCAATCACAAGCAACCCTGGTAAAAGTCCATGACGGCGTGAACCGGCGCAGGGGCGATTTGATCCAGGGGGGCCCCCCCCCCCCAGACGAACAGAATCAACTCTTACAGGACCAAATTCAATGCACAATCCCAACTCCTGATTGTAATACATTTTTGCTAAAGCAAGGAGAACTCAGGTAGCTCAAGCTACCTTTCGTGATATAACCTTTAAGACCCACAGGGGTCCCTTTCGGCCCGCGCCCCCTAAGTCTCTGGGGGGTCGTCCAAACGCGCAGTACCCGCCGTCATTTGAAACTGCGTTCATCCTTGGGCGGGCCGCAAGCCTAGTATGTCATGTCTCATGGCCTAGCATTCAGAGTTGCAAAACGTAAAATTAAAGTCATTTCATGAGGCACCACCTCCACCATTTCGCCTGGTACTTCCCGCTTCCGGCCAAATCCGCATCCGTTTGCAGCCACCAATCTGCTCCCACAACTCCTTGGCTCCCCCCCAAACAAATAATCACACGCCATCCTCCTCTTGCTTCATGATGGCCATCTGCGCATCGTTTGAAAACACCGCTCCCCCGGCTCCCAACTTGGCTCCCATCCGATCCTCCTCTTGCTTCATGATGCGCACTTTGTTGCTCATCTCTTGTCCAATCCTGTCTCGGATCCCCCGGGACCCGATCCGCCGCAGCACCGCGGATCGGGTTGGGTCGGATGCGTTGTCCCGTGGTGTGCGGGTTTGGACGTTCAGGAGGGTCGAAGGGTTCCAAATCCAAGAGGCATAGGAAGTCAAAAGGCAAGAGTTGATACAATATATTAAAATATACTGCTCAAAGCTACTTTTTCTATCAACTATAGAGGACTGGACAGTTTTTCAAGTCCCACGTTAACCTACATAGGGTGAAGTCTTCAACGCTTGCAAAGACCTAGCGGGCTTTGTTTGATTAAGACCTGAACTTTCTTTTGACTTTCTACAACAACTAGATACAACTAGCATATCTTGCTTCTTACCTGCAGGTCATGTCACATTGTGAAGCATACTATGTAAGATCTACTAACATCAGTCCCAAGTCTCAAGCAGCACAAAAGGTCAGCCAACATCAGACTACAAGCCAGAACATTATCATCGGAGAGACTCACCAAAAGTAATTATATATCCCAAAGTGGACTTCCAAACCTGCTCCAGCTAACCTTGTGCCATCTAATTCTAAGCATCGTCATACTCGAGACATGTGAGAATAGACGTAGATTGACCGACGGAAGTTCACACTTTCCTCCACCTGCACAACACCACTTTGGGTCTCCCGGACCCGCCAGCTCCGCCTCTGTCCGATGCCCGGGGGCCTCCGTCGATCCTCCAGCTGCTGCTTCTTCTCCTCGGTGACCACGATGTCGGCGTCCGCCAAGAGCAGCTGCCTCGGTGGGTTTCGGACCTTCACCGGCGAAGAACCGACCGAATGGTCAACGCGGCCGTATGTCAAGCAGCCGTATGGTGTCGCCAGCGGCCTACAGATAGTAGAAGAACAAAAATAGATCCCTGGAAACGCCCACGAGGATGAACCTCAATGAGGTCTGATTACTTGTGGAATTCCGCTGGTTCCCTGGTGCCACTTGCACTAAGTAGGAAGCCTGAGGTGTTTCGACTGAACACCTCGACCGACCGAAAGCCTGATCTTCGGATCGGATGTCCAAATACCTATGCTGAGAACTCAGGGGGCAAACCTATGAGGTCAAATCTTTGGAGGCTTCCTCTGGTACAGGTACAGGTACTTTGCTGAGTAATGCTGGATCCGAAATGGTAGATATGTGTCATTGTGGAAATGTGAAACTGTTCCAGATCCTGGAATTGTTTTAGGGTTGGAATCGTAAATTTTTAAAATCAAAAAGGACTCCTTTTCATGTACTTCTTGTGATCTGTAATTATTTGCTGGCCAAACTGCGTGGAATTGTTTTGGTGGGAGTAGAACCTCTCCTCCATCGAGGCGGTATTTTCAAATCAAGCCTGAAGACTCCACACTCACTGCATGGAAGGGCATGAGGGTGGATGGATCCAAAGGAATTTACTGTATATATATTGGGGAGGAAACTTCCGCTCATTCCCTGATTCCTTCCCAAGCACCTGTCAGCTTGGAGTCACTTTTCGGGGCAATGGACCACCACAAACCTCCATCCTGAGGGCTCGGCCGCACGCGCTCGCGCTCCACGAAGGCCTCGGAGTGAGCGAATGGCAGTGGGCGCTGTTGCAGCTTGACCAGGTGGGAGCGGCTGCGCAGGTGTTGCGGCTTCGGGTTTAGAACCAAGGGTAAAGTTTCAATGATGAATCAATGGTCACTATGTGCTTAATATTGTGTAATTATATATATATATATGTGGAAGCTCTGGACTCAGACATAGACAAGCCTTTGTTGTTAAAGCGGTTGTAGCATTCTCAATTTTTGCAGGGGGGGCTTGCGGCCACTACGCAAAGCACATGCCTATGCCGCCTATGCCTGCTATGCGAGATGGTGGAAGGCAGGCCCGACCAACCTGGTGTGCCGAGAGTCTTCCTGGTGAGTCTAAGAGGCTCTTTGGAAGTATGGCGAGGTAGTAAAACTGGAGCTAGCGTATTCGGCGAAGTCGCACTTTGTCTGTTTTGAGACGTCCTTTGGAGACTTGATCATGAAATGGTTTCATACCTACTAAGTATAGCTAGTTTTCAAGTGTGTGAGATAAGTGCGTCCAGAAGAACAGAAAAGCTAGCCTTACCTGATAGATCTTCCACTAGTCTCTGTGGGGAAGTAGCAAGAAGACCTGCGTATGCCGCAAAAGCACTTGCTACAGCGCTTCGACCTTGTATCACAAAGTGACTTTTGAACTTGCCCAAAAAAACACATGCACATGCATAAACCAATTGTTTTTCAGGAGCAGCAACTTCCAGGTGAAGTGCTCATACATATCTTGTATTCCACGTCTCCAGTCGGATGTGCCTGCATCTCCACAATCGAAGCCCAAATCACTCTGGGATCATCAACAATGACCCATGGATTCTCACGAAGTTGCAGCAAAAAGGAAGGACAAATATGCAGTTGGATTGCATATTCTAACAGGCCTCCGGCCTCCTCGTCAGATCTGACAAGGGTTGTACTCTTACGCTCACCTTCCGCAGAGACAACTTGGTATCTACAGTGCTGAGTAAACCACTAGAGTAGGTATGAAGGAAAAACATGTTGTTTTCAGGATCACCAACCTGCAAGCTGGCACCCAAATGGGCACACCTGCGACTGTCTGCGCTCCCGGCATGGCTTCCCACTGGCAGACAGGGTGCAGCGTTGATCAGGGAGACCATGCGCTCGCCCATATCCTGGAGATGTCACAACGCCCCATCTGCGGTTGTGTACAAAGACCCCCGAAAGACTCCATGGAAGAAAGAAAAGGGGATCCCTATTAAATTACAAACCCCATCTATAAGATCACCTGGCTCCTGGTTCCAACAAGTATTGTTTGATTGATTGGTCCGAGCATGTCCGAGTCCAAACATACAATGCTTACAATGGTTGAGATGTTCGAACATGAAGAAACCATGAATCATAACTAACACAGGTACTATATATAGCATATAGCACAGGTACATAATCCACCTTAAGCTTGGACCAAACCATGAAGTGTGATCGATTTTACATGGGAACAGGGGCCCCAGGCATGTGGTTTCAAATGGTGAATCCAGAACTCCCAGCTCTCAGCTCTCACCACCACCGGAACGGAAGAGGAGCCACTCCTGACATCCATAGAGGGTGGTCTCCGTCTTCTTGCCTGTCTTCTCCACGCGCTGCCTCCAGGAATTTTCACGGTGCGTGCATGGCTGGTGATGACTGGGAGGAAAGACTAGAACTTCCGGAAGCCTCCAACTCCAACTGACCGCTTTTGAAGTTGTTGGGACCTCTTTCAACTCTCTAGATGGTGACCATTCAACACTCCCGGTAGGGGGAACTCACACCCACGAAACTCTCCTGCTCCAAATGCTGGGGCTCCAGGCTCGAGACCCTCGACCATGGACTTCACACCATCGTGCAAGTCCTATGAGTGGCGTCCACGCATACCACCGGGGACCTTCGCCACCTCCACCGCGTCCACCGTCTCCGGAGCTTCGCCGTCCGCCCCGTCTCCACGGTCGAGACCCGGTGAGACCGTCCGCGCCGTCTCCACGGAGAGGGAAGCACGACCGGCATTCGGCGACGGAGGGTTTGACCGGATTCTCTGGTGACTGGAAACTGCTCTGTCTGGGAGTCTATAGGAGTCTCGGATCAGCGTTCAATGGCCGTGAATTACCTGGAATTCCACTGCTACTATCTAGGACCAACGAAGAGTTGAATAACATATGACATATGGATCGATGACTGTTGTACTGGTCTCCACAGGCCAAACAATACGCTTGCTGGGGGTGTGCTTTGGGTGTTTGGTATGGACTCTTTGGGTGCTGTGGCGGGCTGTTCTGTCCGAAATGGATGGTGCATGGGAGGATTCCCCAGATGGTCCCGTTGACACGGATGTGGTCACATCTCGTTCTGCTCCAAGCAGTGTGCGAGAATTCTGCAAGGTCCAAGCTAAGGGATTCTCCACCATCGGTAAAGCACAAAACAAAACAACCACGACGAAGTCTCTCGCTCTCCTTGGTCTCTCGGTCGTGATTCTGCAGCCACTTGGCAAGGTTTTGGTTTTTGGAGCAAGCCTGACAGCACATCGCACGTTGTACGTCAAGCGGTTCGAATCTAACAAACTGCTGGAGTGCAAACAGGGAAATTACTTGAGTTCAACGGACTTTTCCCCAAACCACCAAAAAACAAAAGCCCGGAACATGCTTTGGACACAGAGTCCCAAAATGCATTTCGGTGGACCGATCAGCCCAAAGGAAGAACTCACGGTCCAAAGAAAAATCTAACACCAAGCAAACGAGATCCACAGAAACAAAGCCTCATGCATGTATTGAATGGTCTTGAATATATCCGCATCCAACATGCAGCCCATGCATGCGGAAACAAATCTGCGTGCTAAAAGCTATGACAACTGGACAGCTCTTCAAAAGTCTCCTCCACCACTTAGTACCTAGAAACAAACCCGCATCAAAAGATAGGATATATGAAGATCCACTAGGGCAACAAACCTTGATCTTAAAGGTTGTGCAAGTAGCTGGGCTCGGAACACTCCACAACTGTTTAGTTTAATGCCCTTTGTCCTCAGGCTTCTTCAATCTGAGGCCTCTTTTGTTGGGCGCTCGCCCGGATGGGCTGGAGTCGCGACGCCCTAGGTCCCGGGCATTGCGAAGCATCTCGATCTGCTCACCCAATAGTTCTTCCCTGGAGGCATTGCGGTCGTCTTCGAGAAAACCAAAGCTTTTGGTCCCCAGCAACTTGGGGTCCCAGGTACGTGCTGAGAAAAGACCAAGCAATTGAAATGCACTTGGAAGGTTCTGGAAGGCTTTTGGGCATGTGCTGTGGCACCTATTTTACATGGAAACAAACCTGTGAATAAAATCAGGCAAATTGGTGAGAGCTTAACTACGCCCAATTTGTACAAGAACCAACACCTTCTGTTGAGCCTTATGCCTCATTGAACACTGTCCTGCTGGATCTAGCTGAACAGACCAACATAACTGAGCACCTCATGGAGGTAGCCTCACTGACATGGAGACGCACCGACCTGACGTTCATACAGACTCTGGCGACGACACATATGGTGGACGCCGTGGACGCCTTCAGGTCAATTTTGAAAACCTACCCTTCATCCTGAGGTGAAGTGGCCCATGGATAGACTGTATATATAGACTATACTTGTCGAATCCCACACAGGGAGTGAAGTCCACTTCCATGATTGTTGGAGGGAGCGTAAACACCACCGAGTCCGCCCCTTCCCAAGGCTTCTAGTGGAAACAATATTCCAAGAGTCTGGATTCAAACAAAAACTAACCAAAAAAAACGATCCATGATGATCTATATGTAACTATAGCCTGGAACCTGACCCCTGGAACCTTGAATGCCAACAATCCAAGACATTGAATTGTCCAGGTGCCGGTGTCAGTGCCGGGTACCCATAATGCAGGCACCATCAATCGAGTCGTTTTAAAACGACGGCCATCGTCGATCTGGTTTTTGGGGATGGACCAACTAGGAAGCAATCCGTCAACGCCAAATTCCACCCCCGAAAAGCTCTTGGACTGGCCTTCCGAAGAAGCATTCCGAAGAAGCATTCCGAAACAAAAAAACGTACAAACAAAAACATCAATCAAACACAAACACAAAACCACAACTATATAAAGTGGATTGAGAGATGATGGCATTATCCCCAATGTCGGTGATTCAAATGGGCCCCCATCTATCAAAAAAAAGATCTTTGTGGCCCGTGCCATCGAACCTCTCAATCCAAGCACTGCCATCGAACAGCTCCAGGCGACATTTCACCCGTGTGGAGCTGATGCAACATGTCGTTGATCTGCGATTTCATGATGGCGGGGCTCCTGCAAAGCTTGGAACACCATGCATGAGCTGTGAAGCTTGTGAAATAGGAACTGCAAAGCTTGGTTGGTGAACACATGTCTAGCTCCTGCAATTCTTGCACTGCTTGAGATTCCTGAACCAAGATTGATTCTTATACTGCTCGGTGACGTCAAATCGGAAAAACTTGAGTCTTTGAGATGGATCCTCCCAGGTAGAGATTGACATTAAGCAATGTGTAATTTGTTTGATGGAACACGTGCATGTTCGGTAGTAAAACGATCTTTACAAAGGATCCCAAAGGCTGTGCCATCCACTTTCATGATTGTCTTAAGCATACAGTCGGAGATCTTGGAGTTTTCGTGTTTTGTAGAGAAAACAAATAGCTGGACCTACAAGGCCCAGGTAGACTTTACTCTGAGCAAGGTGGGAGCGACAAAACAGGAACCGTTTCTAAGATCCATAGTTGTCCAATTTAATTACCAGAACCATCATCCACGGGGTCACCCCAGGGCTACCCTATACTACTAGAGTGGATCTCCCTTGGACAAACAGAAGGCCAGAAACCTCTTTCACGATGGGTTCCCTTCTTCCAAACAATTCCTGAGCCTAAGTCTGCTGCCTTTCAAAAGGATGAATCGGCATGAGGATTTGCCAAGAAACCGGTCATGTCACCGCCCCAACATCTGAACACAGTGACATCGACGAGTAGCTGGGACAACCACAGCAAGGACAAGAACAGGTAAACTATCTGACCTATGCTTCATTCGAAAAGAAACCTCCATAATCCTCCCTATAATCATAATCCATATATATATATTATATCTAAAACCATCCATAAATGGCCTATGTACCTACCTGGCGTGGTTTCAGGTCAACATGCCAGTCCCATGGGCATGGGTCTAGTTGTATTGCTGGTCATTGATTCGAGGCTCCCAAGGTCGTTCGCCCACCCCGCAACAGGACGAAACACTTCGGCCGCATGATTCGGCTCCAGTAGTTGCTTCCAGGCTCACCGGCCTCAGCGCGCGTTTGTATGTGCGCGCGCGCGCAACGCGCGCGTTGGGGGTCGGAGTCCCGGTATAGCTGCCGGTGAGCTAGGGAGTGAGGAATTGATGTGGGATGAACGTGGCATAAACAGGCCTGCTTGGCGGGTGAAAGGAATCGATTGTTGTGGTCTTCTGCCGGCTAACGAAGAACATATGAACAATTATTAACATATCCAACATAAGAATTATGGACATATATGGACATGGTGCACGCCCTGTAGGTGGGGATCAATCCAATAGAAAACCCTCCGTTTGAGGACCTTGAAAACTCCTGGTGGTTTTGGAACTCCTGGTGGGTTCAAAATATCGGATCCACCGAAATCTCGGAGCCCATGAGAGGTGAGTGCAAAGAGGTCAGCTGGTCACGACATGAACCCCCCCCACGTGACGCGTGGTAGCAAGATGTAACAAGGGTTGGTTGATGTTGGATGGTTGTAGCCATGGTCACATGGTCAAACCTTTCCACAGTCTCTGCAGCTCCAGGCTTTCTCCATCTGCTTCAGAAGCTCTTCTTGGTTCTCTGCCTGAGGTTCACAAGTTTACATCACTAGCCAGGCAAACCACAGCGATAAAAATATTCATTGGGGGAAACAGGATTTACCTGGAACGTCGTTCGCTACGACCAGGGCTCCAGGTTTTGACCCATCCCTGTCCCGAAATGCCACCTGAAGATTTACCACAGCTGCAACGATTTTGGCCATAAGCACATCGTTTGCGGGGTGAAAACTAGATTGGGGCAAGCGGTTTGGCCCAGATCCAACTGGCTTGAGGTCAAAATTTGTGGGATAAATTTCTGGTGCTGAACATATACTTTCTCGTCCACTTGATGCTGTCTTCATGAGCACCTAAGTACTCCTAAGTTTGAATTTGTGTGTGCCTTGCAATCTTTCCAATCTTGACATCCACTCTCCCTGATATTGGACGAGTCATTCACTGCAAAACATGAGTCAGCCGTAGCGGCACATGAGATGATACATCAATCAGGATACAAACTTGAACAACATGTCACATGTCTCTAAAGCACGCTGCTTCCAATCTAAAATAGTCCACGGCAGCATGTACTACCATACTGTAACATACAAAACCAACCCAGACCTGTCTCTGACTCCCAAAAAGGGCTCCTCCAACATACAAACCGGTCCTCTTCGAAGTAAACATTCACTCCTTTTGACCCATGCCCCACGGATAAGGCATCCCTTTCACCGATTGCAGGACGGCCTCGTCGGCTTGGAGGGCGCCCTTGGGGACAAGCGCCCCTGGTGCCGTGGCGACGGTTTGGAGGGGGCGACGGTTGGGACAGGACGATGGTCAACACACCCAAACACTCCACGGGACATGGAATACATGCCCATCTGATGTTTATATATGCCAGTTTGATATTAATAAATATGTAAATATATTTTATATATGCCACATATGGAATACATGCCGACCACGATGGCCCACATTGATCCCTTTTCAACCACCCCATGTTTATATGTAAGTCCCATTTGTCGTGTCGTGAGATATGTCCACCTGGAGCCCAATGGGGTGAGATTTGTCGCGGGGAAGCCTGGGTTTCTCGTTGGAGTAAAAAGACTCTAGTTTGGGGGGGTCGGTCATTATTTTTGATGAAGGTTGGGATAACTGTGGGTCAAAACAGGTCATTCATGCATGGCCATTCGCCACCAGCATGGAGATCAAGTTTTATCACCCAGGCGGTGTGTTGGGAAAGCAGCAAATAGCACCCGTGATGATTCCGACAAAGAAGCAATCTACCAAGAACGACTCAGAATCAATCACAAGTGGATTGGCGACAAGAATTGCCCAACATAACTAGTCAATCACCAAATGGTCCAATTCTCAGACTCAATCCAACTCAGAAAATGAAACTGGCCCCTCTGCATGTCTTTGCCACAAAGTTGCGATAATCCAAAGGTGATCCTGCAGCACGTGATGTATATAGTGGATGCATGCCGTAGCCCGTTTCCACTGAAAAGCAGCCGTCGAACAGCGACCTGCCACTGTACATGTCGAATCACGTACTGTATCCATTCCGCGGATATCAACAAGACCCATCTTCTATATATATAAGGGATATATAAGGGCTATATTATATGGACACACCTACATTGGACCGAGTCCTCTTGATCTCCTAAGGACAGTCTCTCGTTCTGTTCAACAGCCGGAGCCGACCATCGGGGCGCCGTGTCCGGGCCCGGCGGCCTGGAAGTGCGACGGCCGGCGCAGCATAGGACCTGATCGACGCGCAGCCGGTGCGGTGCGCAGCCGGTGCCGGACAGCGCCAAGGACAGCGTCACATTTAGCTTACTTTAGCTGCAATCAATGGGCAAAGTGAGGTTTCCTGAAGGTCATAGATATATTACATCGCATTTTCTCGTAAAGAATGATCATTTTCCTGAGGGTCCCATGTCCATGCTAGATCTTTCAAGCTGCTCACACTGCGAATCCCCAAAGAGAGCGAATCCAAGTGATCCAAACATCCCCAAGAAAAGAGCGAAACCCCAAACATAAGGAGTGGGACCCGAAAATCAGTTTGGAACATCCCAATAATCCCAAAGGAGTTTGGCACATCCAGAATTCCAAGTTCGGATCATTCTCCGAACGGATCTGGTCCCAAACTCCTTGGCATCCGGGTGGGGCAGATCCCATCGAAAAGGACCTTACCAGCGCCGACTAAGGAACCCTTTCTGATCCACATAGAGGCCCTTCTCTTTGCGCTCCTGAGATCGTCTTGCGCACTGTGTGAGGGGCGAGTCCAACACTTAGCCAGCTGCTCGAAGAATGGAACAGGAGGCACCCTTCAAATGTAGACTTTTACAGGGCGACACGTGACAATCACGCGACACAGACTGCCAAGACTTCCATTTCGGCATCAGCACAGATTTGCCAAGGATGGAGAAGGGAGAGATCCAGAAGCGGTTTTGACAAATCGGTCTCAAAACCTCCCGCCGAAATGGTCGAGGTTTGGTGGGAAGGAACCTGGGCTGGAAGACTTAACACTTGATGTTCCGCAACACAACTCTTCCACAGGGCACCCCCAAAAGAACTGCTCAGTTGAACAGTATATTCTCATGGTCTCAGGACTCAGCAAAAGGATCCACCAACCCTGGCTGCTGCTCGGCTCCTGCTCCAACTTCTGCTTCTGCCGCATCTGTGCTGCCTCGAATGATTCTGTCTCATTCAGGCTGCTCCGACCCTCCCGAAAGGACGCCTCTGAAACCTCAAGGATCGAGTTGCCAAATGGATAAGATGTTTTGTTGCCAAATTCCATCCCGGATCGAGCAAATGGTCCTACACCTTCTGAGAAGGAAAAGATGGGAACAGCAAACAAGCTGCGAAATCCTAGGACCGGAATCTGTGGAAAAGAAAACGTTTTTGGGGTGTCCAAAACGGAATTCTTGGTAGTAGAGGTCATCATAGTTTGGCATCTGACCATTACGATATCATATTTCACTTCAACAAGAATGTGGGTTGAAGCATGAAGGCTGGGAGGCATCGACTCTCAGTGCCATCGACTGGGCGTCGCACCATCTCCCGATTCGGAGTCCATCCTGCTCGGCACCGTCGTTCCGTCGCGCAGATTCGTGAAGGCTGGAGGAAAAAGGAGGAGCCCCGGAGAAGTGAAAGTGGAGTCCACCTAATTAGACTGTTCTATACTGGGAGCATGTTTGCTGGAGATAGCCCTTTCTTGACAACATAGAAGTGCATTCTATTGTCTGGCAGCTGGGACAGCAAGTTGAATAGAAACAAAGGTGTGTTCTGGGGATGGTGCCGCATGTACATGTATGTGCCACTGTATGTGCCTATATGGAGACCTAGAACCTCCAAAAGACTTCAGTTCGGCTTGTCTGGAGGATTTGGGGCCTACAGTCATCCCCCAAACCAACCAGAATGGTTGAACCCTGACGAGCCGGTGCTAGGGTAGTCCAAACTAACTACTGCGATACCTGGAACATCCAAGAACATCCAAATGATACCCAATGTCATGTTAGGTGGTCCAGTGATGTTTGTCGCTTTCTTTTGGAGCCTCAACATGTGCAAGCAACCTGCGCCGTTCCTGATGATCGTGGAACTGTTCCATCACTGCCTTGGATGAAGAATGATGCAGCCTTAGAGCAAAATCTCCACTTTGCTTCGGTGTATGGAGTGGGTTTGGAGGGTCTAACTACCTTCTGAGCAGGTGGGCCAGGAGCGCAAAAAAAAAGAGTCGCCCTAAAGAGTAACCACACCTGCAACACCACCGGGCCGCCACACCTGCAAAGTGTTGCTCCAACTTGTCCGAGACATGGTGGGTGGTCTCCTGATGCGTTGAAAACAGCTCGAGACACCAGTTCTGAGAAAAACACCCAATTCCCCCCCAATGATATAAACATGTTTACAACACCCGCCACATGGATGCCATCCAAGATCGAACAGAGACACCCAAATGGACTTGAGCAACTGTCACAAGGTCCTGGAAACGCGAAGGTCCGGATTCGCCGGGAGCGAACGTCCGGATCGCTGGTTTTTGGGGCGAAAAGGGACAGGTGGAAGGAGAAACGTGGAATCCCTTCCATCCATGGCACAGCCGTGTCTGAACTATAGATCCAAAACGATGAAACATGTACTTCCCGGGGCCGTCAATTATTTACCCCTTGTGGGTGATTCATATTAAGGGGTGATTCAGGGGTGTATAGTATAGTGTATACAACATCACCCCCTGTGGTATGTGTTTAAGGGGTGTATATGTCTGTATTCTCCTTTTGCCAAGACATCCCACGCCGCTGCTTTCAAGCGCGAAAGCACCGGCCTTCAGAGCCTCCACAATCGTCTGGCCTGGCCTGGCAAAGACAAAGAGATCGATGGGTTTCGCAGGGACAAACACCAGCGACACGGCAACGGCAAAATGGTTGTATGATGTTGTATGCAATGCCAATTGGCGTTATAAGCTTCGTATCAAAGAACAAACACATCTAAAACATTCCAAGGTGCCTTGCTTTCGTCCAAGGTGCCGCGAGTGGCGAAAAATGATTGATGCAAACGCTCGGTCTGAAGGTTGGGAAAACTTGGTCTGAGTCTGAGCGCATTGGGACTTTGTTGCCTGAACAAATACCTAGAACCTGACGAGTGACCCCTGCTGTGGAGTCAAAGCATTGTCTTTTCCTATCAAAACAGAGGTCATATGGGTTCCAGGTATATAGTTCTCAAGAGCCCTCTTGCAGTGTGTTTGGGACCAAGAATTCGATCAAACACACCATTTGGATCCATTTGAAACAACAATCAACGGTGCCCAAGACAAACAGCAAGGAACTGATGATTGTTCCTAGATATGAATCTCGGGAACCAACTGAATTAGGGCTCTCCTGTTCTGGTTTTGGCAGGTGTTGAAACATTCTTTGCATAACAGCAAAACTTGCGGAATATGCCGCAAGCAACCTTCATGTTTGCGCCTGAGCACAAACACAACTCACTCATATTTAGCTGCCAACTGGGCCCAGTGACACGTCTTGGACAACATCTTGCACCTCTAAAAAACGAAGAACGTCACACCTCTAAACCGGCTCAACTGCGGACTCGACCGCATCCACCGTAGTGTTTTCACAACGCCGGCTGCACCGCCGGGTGAGGAGCTGCTCCCGCGGAGAATCGGCCTGCGAGGGAGGGAGATGCAGGTATAGTTGTTCCAAGGAGCAAGGTCCAAAACCATCCTTTGGGTACTTCTATATGTACAAAACCCATCCTATGTACACTTCTGGGACAGAAGTAGAAGATTGTTTTGCAGGAGAGGACATGCACATGTTTTGGACCATGTTGCTTCGGTATAGTTTCATACTCCAGCAGGTCAAAGACCTCATAGGGGACATCATGTTCGGGGAAACATCCAGCTTTTCCAGAAAGATTACGTCAATCAGCTCAAGGACCAGCTTCTATCTGGTCCTTGGGCCTTCCAATCCCGGGGATGGTCTAGGATGGGACATGATCCAAAGAAGGAACAAGTCATTCATGATCTTTTGTGCTATCCTCAACTTCTTAATTTCAATGGTACAAACAGGTCAACTCCAGGCTTTGAAGCCCCTACACACTCGAGATGTAGTAATTTAATTACTTTTAATTATGCACCATATGGGGCCCGGGCCTATCATTTTGCCTTCTGGGGGTCACCTCGGACACCCCAACAAAAACGCCATGTTCGCCGTGCCGAGCCGTGACGAGCCGAGTTCGGCGGCTCCACCTTCTTGGGATCCGTCTTGGCGCTGGGAGACTCCTCCTTGACTGGCGACCTGGCACACCGGTCACCCCGCGGGGTTCGGTCGGATGTCTGGTTGGCCGCCGGTGGTTTTGGAGAACGAAGCAGCATAGCTGCTATTTGCTATGCCTACCTAGGCATGGGAAATGGGATGAAATGGAGTTCCATCTGACAACTTACAAGGCACTTCGCATTCCGAATTCACATCATAGGTCCCTGCACTTGCTGGGTATGGGAAACAATGATGATGCAAAACCACCATGATTTCCTCTATTTGGCTTGGGAACAAAAGCTCGTTCTGAAGTCAAGTGCCTGACAAAAGAGCTTCTATCTTCTGACTCGATTAGAATCTGGTTGATGATACTTACCATCTAACCACTCTGAGAAACCGACCCTAAGACGGATCACCAGCTCCCAAACGGACCGTCACGGAGTGGTGATTTGTCCGGAGAGTCCTACCCAGAAATACTATACGGTGATGGATTAAACAGCATTCTCAAGTGAGTCAAGTGAAGTTTGAACACAGAAGATAGAAAGTACACACTGACTTGTTGACATAGGGCAATGGACAGTGGCCTCTGAAAAGCAAACATACTGTCACCGTCACCTTTCATCGTTGCTATTGAAATCTTCCAAGGCAACTTGAGGTCCAAACTTCCCAACCGCAGAAAAACAACCATGCCACCTGGAAGGGTAGTGAAACACGTGAAAATGAAGAGCGTAGAAGCCCCAATATCAAAACGCCCCCCCTTTTCACCACCCCACATTCCCTCACTCTAGACTCTAGACTCTAGCTCTGTAGCCCATAGCCTATAGCTGAAAATGCTACAGTAAATCATGTCCGTGAAGACCTGTAGCCATTTGCAATCCATCACTTTCGCGACTTGATCACTCCTTGAACCCCCCAAAAACCCACCCTCCCTCACCGCCCCCCCGGACGCTGGGCGCTCCGGACGCTGCCCGCGGCCGCGCCGCCCGCGCGTGGGAGCCAGCGACGGGCTGTGCAGGGCTCGTGCTCGACGTGCTGGGCTCCTCTGGCAGGTCGCTGGCCTTGACAGCACCTGCAGCAGCCACAGCGCGAGGACGGTGCGGTGTTTTGTGGGAAGAAGTGGAGCTGCCTCAACTCAGCCGGAAACCTGCAAGGAACATTGTGTGGGGGATGGGTGGGCATGTTGCTCAGAAATTCGGACTCTCTGTTGGGAGAAAGTGCTCATGTTCTGGGTTGCAAAAACCTAGAGGTTGGGCCATAAGTTGTGTTCCCCCCACGATCTACCACCGACTTGCTCCATCACCTGCGAACCGCTCGATCCACTCGCAGCTTCGCCTCGCCGGCGATTGAAGCGCTTGCCCTCGGGAGGTGAGGTGGAGCGGTCGCAGCCCGGCTCCGAACCAACGATCGAGCACGGAACTGGGTTCCACGATCGAATAAGAACCTTCAAACCAAACAGGGCAACCATGGGCTACCTGTACCTCTTTCAAATGTTTTGCCGGGCTGTAGTTGGGAATGCTGGAGATTTATTGAAAGGACATACAGTTGCTTACTATAGACAACAAAGCACCTAGTTCAACATCCCCGCTTGTGGCCCTCAAGGCCATGTTTCTATGAAAGAAGCATTCAGTTCGTTCTGTGCTCCTATGATTGCCTGAGGCTGATCCGAATTGCAAGTAGGCGAAGTAGGTCCTCTCCTAGGAGTATCTTCACACAACTTTGAATTATACACAATTGAATTATCTTCACACCGGAGTTTGGCAAATACATTGGATGCTTATAATTCTGAAAACAAAGAAACAATTGATAATCGGATCATTGAACCTTGACTCTCTGAGTTTCCCTGGAACTCCAAAGAACTCTTTCCTTTCCCAAACAAGCTAATCACACCCTCCAACTCTAGAGCATCCTGCTAGAAGAATGCGTCTGGCGCGAGGCGATGGAACCAAACTGATCACCATGGATCGATTGTAACTCGTTTGGTTGTTCCCACCTCCCACTGCACTTTCTATGCAGAACCCAGTTAGCAGACTAGGTCACTGAGCCGTCTTCAGAAAAACATGTACTCCAAGTCCCTCAAGTGCAAAGTCCCTCTTGAAGCGGCCCACATCCCACTTGCCGACAGCAACCAGAATACAGTACACCTGCCAAGCTAGAGGGTATTGATTGCACCTGCAAATCACTTGATCCGCTCTTTGGAGCCATGGTTCAACAGGAGGCGAACGAACACCTGTAATGAAACACGTCATTATATATATATATATATTGGGTCTATCTGCTCTATCCTGTAGCAGTGGATGATCATGGTTCAGTTGCAGGCCTTGCGCAAAAATAGTGCTTGTTTACTGACTGTTACAGGTAATAGGACAGACCCAAATTATATATATATATATACACTACACGTTCATACACTTTCCCTTTGATGATCCAATGCCACCTGCTGGAAATGTGCTTTTGTAGAAGTCAGGTCTTGGACCATGTAAGCCAACCTGAGGCAGGGCGGCCTAGGTTCTACACCGCTGAGGCTTGCGAACACTGGAGCCCATACCAGCCATTCTGGGGCACCCAGGCCGACATGTCCGCAGCAACATCAGACCACTACCCGCCGATCGGCGGGACCCGGCGTGGACGTATGAAGGGGAAATCAGTCAGGGTAAATCTCATACCTGACAAAACACCTACTGTATTAGTGTCTATATGCTCTACTTTGCAGACCTTGATCAAACACAATGATCCTACTTCTGCACCACTTCCCTGTAAAACACAAGTCAACACTTAGGATGATGGCATTGTTGCAGTCAGCTTCAAGACTTATGTCCTGAAGGTCATGCTTACGGGATCCTAACTGGCCTCTGCGTGCGAGCCACGTCGAACATCACAGCGAGCCACATCGAACCAACGACGTTCGCATGCAACAAACATACCAGGATGTACCAGAGAAATCGGAGTGGCAGTGTGGAAGCACAATGGCTTCCTGACTTACAGTACTCAGTTTGTTCAAATTCTTAAACGAAACATGCATGCATACGTGCATGCATATGTGTGATCAATAGTGCTTCACGGTTCACCAGGCGGTTGAACCGGGAAAACCATCACGAAAGAAGGTCAATCCTGAGTCCACCAATGATTCTACATGACTGGGCGGCTGGCAGTCAGACTGGCCCCCTCAGGTTCCCCCGGAAAACAAAGAGGTGAACCGAACTTTTCACCTCTGGGATTTGGAGTGGGGAAACCAATTCTCACAAAAGGTTTTGCAGGTTAATCCCATGTTTTTTTTTCCTGGGTAGGAAGAGCCACTGTTGAATGAGCTTCCTAGAAGACGGGTGCAATTCTATCGCAACTGTTGAATGAGTGAACCAAACAGATATTTTACGATATAACCAGCACTTCACTTCCCTGTTGCCGTTGAACCGAAGCCCTCCGTTTCGGAAATCAAACCGAACGAACGACCTCAACATCTGATCGACCTGGTTCTGTCTGAACGAGACCGCCAATTCCATCGGTGGGACCAGTGAAACAATCGAGTGTTTCACGATCTCCACACATCAGCAGCGATCAATCCATCTCAAGGCTTGTGGGATCGTGCGGCCCCCGAAGCCTCTAAGAGAGGCCCCAGAGAGCCCACCGGCCTTTCACCCTTTCTTTTATTTCTGGGTTCCGAAACAGCTGAAAGAGTATCGCTAAAACATTTGGACAACTCAAGAGTATACTTTTCACCACCGACTTCCAAAACGGCCTTGCTATTGCACTTAAGAGTAGTCCAAGTTTGTATTGCTACGTGGGGAGTCCAAAGTCTAACAAGAAACAAAGAGGCAGATATAGGCAAATAAGCATCCGGTATCTAGGACGTCGAACACGTAGCAGCCTTTTAAACATATGGATCACACAAAGATTTCAATGTTCATGGTCCTACCATGAACGTGCAGCCCCGGTTCATAAAACAAACCTTGGATATGCCCCACCTTTGCAGTTCGGGGAGACGAGGCAACTGGTTGGCATCTCTGCGGGGTGAAGCTCTTCTCACTGGGCATCCCGAACGAGCTGGGCGACCTGCGGACCGGTGCGTGCACGACCGTCGTGCGAGGTCGCCCCCATAGAGGTTCGACCCAAAGGCGAGCGTTTGGAGGTCTGACGTTCTTCAGTTTTGAAGGAACATGTCAACTAGACATGACTGTTTTATGACCCCTCGGAAGTCGTCTCTGACTTGTTTGGTTTTTGGTTTAGGTTTTTGTCCGAATCATGACACGCCCGATCCTGGTCACCGGTGATGAAGTGATCCTCCGCTGTGGTGGGGGAACTTCAGGGACTTCATCCAGGACGAAGGGACACCCGTCGGTGGGCATAGGGAACCGGACCTTGGTTCTGACCAGGTACGTGGACCTTGAAGGATGATGCTTAAGGACACATGTGACGCACCTTGAAGGATGTTTCCAGGGTCCCCACGCCATAAATGCACAATAACATTCAAAAAGTACGATGTGTTCACCATATTGAGTCGTCAGCAGCTCTTTCACTAGACTAGATTTGATGATTAGATTAGAATAGATTAGAATTAGTAGATTAGAATGATTGGGTGGGAAAACCCTCTGCCAAACGTCGTGGGGTCGTCCAATTGTCTACCTTGATTGGCTCTCTGGTCTCTGCTGGTCTGCGCTCTAAGTGTCCCTTTAAGTTACAGTAACTTCAGTGCAACTCCACTGATTTTGCCTGTGCACTTCCCACTCCTCAAACTGCAAACCGTGTGAAACAAATAATCCCTCGCAGCCGGACAAGGGTGACATCAGCCCCTCCTTCATCTGATGACAAGCCAGTCTCACAACAGGTCTCACCAGACCTTGCACACCAGGTCTGATACATGTTTTTTCTGCTCTGTTTGCCTCATCCCCATTGGCCTCTTCAGCCTCTTTGAGAGGACCTTGCCTTGCGGGTCCGTGGTTTCCGGAGACTGAGAGGCCCGGTGAACATCGATGAAAACCGTCTTGGAATCAGGATGAGCTTGCCGATTTTGGAGGGATCCGGCCAATAGGACTCAGCTTCATCGCACCATAGGACTAATGGACCAATGAGGCAATATAGATATTGAAATCGTTCGAAGAGATTGAGAATGTTGGAGTAACCTAGGAACATTGGTGCTTCTCACAAGAATATCTATGTATATGATATGTGATATAAATATATATATATATATAAGTACTATATACTATATTTCATATTATTATATCAAAAGCCGGCGTGCGGCGACGCGGCAAGACAGCACCGGTTTTGTGCCAAAAGGGCGCCCTGCGGTCGTGAGGTGACATGGAAACACAGCGAAGGCTGCAGCTAGTTCATGGGGCCATGCTCATGGTGCTTCTGTCGTTCTTGCTAGATTCACACCCCTCCTTAGCTGCAGCTTTGCGCTGGTGTCTCCCAGCTCGGATCTTGGCCTTTTTAGCCTGAGCTTCAGCTGTCGGTGAGAGCTGCCATGCGCCTTCATAGAGCGCACACAAAAGCGGCTCCCTTTCGCAGCCGATCTTGGTGAGGACATCTGCCAGCATCTGGCTTGTATCAAGCCAGTGGGCATAAGCTTCATCATCATCTTCATAGTTGTTTTCTCCCAGCAGCTCCTTGATCTGCGCGACCAAGATTCGGACTCTCTTGTCCGTGGGCTGGCCACAGTCCTTGTTCAAGGTGCTCTCCAGGCTCTTTGCGTCGGTCATGCAAAGGACCTTTGACTTGGCGAAGTCACGCTCCAGAGCATTGAACTTCTCGTTGGGGTGCTGGAACTCCAGAAGAGCTCGGACATACTCACCGGACTCGACTCCCATCAAGAAGCCATTGGACTCGGCGGCGAGTGTGCTTCTGCAAACCCTCTTTATGGAACCACTGTAGGTCTCCAGCACGAACATGGGGGTGAGGCCACCGTTGAGGATCTCAGGCAAGGTGAGGGTCACAACAAAGCCACATTGCGACTTTAGCCCTTCCGTGTTGGCGAAGGAGCTGTCGGCAAAGACGCAGACACTCACATCCTCGAGCTTCAGCTTGGGGTTGGAGACAAAGCGCCATGTGCTTTCGGAGGTCTCCTTGAGCATCTTTACAGCTTTGTTGAGGTTGACCACATCACGGATCTTCGGTGAACCCATGGACTGGGCAGCAACGGAGACGTTGACCATGACATCAGGACGCGTCTGGCGCGTCACCCATCCAAGCTGACCAATCAGCCCTCTGAAGGCTGTGATTTCCTCTGGTGTTAGAGGAGCTGCCATCATAGCACGTCGGTGCTTGTCCAGGGGCATGTAGTCCACACTCTCGATGGCGTCAAACTGGTCGAGCTCGATGGTGAAGTCGTCTCCTTGACGGACATTCTTTCCACAAAACCTGAAGTTCTTATGCTGCACCTTCAGGTAGATCTCCTTCTCCATGGAGGCAATGCTGTTCTCATACTCAGTGCCGGTTCCAGCACATAGCAAATCATCAACGTGGGTGCAGAGAACGCCTTGGAGGGTGCCATCAACAACCAACATGAAGAGCGCGGCTTCCAGCTTGGACATAGTCCAACCATGTGACTTCAATGTCTTGTAGAGCTTTCGCCACCATGATCGGCCAGCATCTTTCGTGCCGTAGATGGAGCCCAGTGCGCGGAAGAGGTCATGAGGGCTTACTCCAGGTGGAGGAGGTCTTGGTGGTCGCAGTAGTAGAAGGCGACTGATGCCCTGTGACTGCAAATAGGCCGTGGAGGCATCGCATGAAGTGATCACCCATTGTTTCATCACTGCAATCGAGCAGATGAGGTTGAACGCAAGGAGTGATGCCGTAGGGCTGTCTGAGCGAATGCCGGTGGGATTTTCTTGACATCCCTGAACCACTAGCCTGCTTTTGGCTTGGAATGGAAACTCCTTCTTGATCTGGGCATCTGTCTTGCCGGTCTTCTTTTGCATAGCTTTGGCCAAGAGCCGAGGTTTGCTGTTCTTGTCCACATGGACCCACCTGGTGCCGATGATCTGTGCGTCGTCGGGGAGGTTCTCAATCTGCTCTTTGGTGAGGACCTCAACAGCACCAAATTTGGTCCAAGAATCCCACTCCTTCTGCATCGAAGCTTGGAACTTCTCACGATCTTCCTCGTTCAGGTTCTTGAGGGAGATCTCAGTGGATGCTGCCTTGCCAGTCAGGAAGGTCTCGGCAGGAGTGTCGTTGATCACGTCGTCGTAGTTGTCCTCAGACGAGGATTGCTCAGCACCGTACTCCTTCAGCAAGTTGATTTGTCCATCGTTCAGGTGCCTGAGCTGGTTCAGCCGGATGGTGTACGGAAGGCTTGGACAATCCCAGGGGACATCGTCAGTGTAGTACGGTCCGGCTTGTGGCTGGTACTCGGTGCGGACAGGACGATATGCATGAGCATCCAGCCGGTCAGGATTCTGCATAGCGCTCTGAAGTGAAGTGGCTGTTGCGCTTGCGCCAGCAGGTGGTGGCAGAATCTCACTTGGCCTTCGTGAGGTTTCTTGTGGAGGTAGAACAGCAGGTGGTGGAGTTGAGACTGGTAGCGGAGCTGGTTCAGGTTCTTGCAGTTGACCTGGTTCAGCGTTTCCTGCTGTCATTTGTGGTTCTTGTACTGCTTCATGTTCAGGAAGGCTTCTCATTGTGCCAGGACGGCTTGCTGATGATGGATTGCCAGCAGGTTCACCCG